TATTATTATTATTATTCTACTCTACATGCTTTAGGATACGTTCAGAAATTTTAAATTTGCATCTTCCTTAGATTTTCCTGAGAGCTAGCAAAACTTGATAAAATCCTGCCAAATCACCTCAATTTTCAACTTCTTGTACTGTAGCTGTGAATATGCCAGCTGATCTACAAGGCAGGAGTTCCAAGATTAGAGATGGAAGGCTTATAGTCATCACTAAAGTTGAACTCACTTAAGGTGTAATTTTAAAACACCTTAGATCTTTTAAGCATTATGCTGTAAGGGTAATTTCAAGTGTCACGTAACAGTCACTCACCCAGTTGCTAAACTTGCTCTAGGACTGCTCTTTGGCTAATATTCTTTGTTGTATGTTTTGAACAGACTTAATGCTTGTATGAAACCGCATGTGATAGTCTACATACCATTTTCATATTTTACTTATTCTGTAATACTACATGCTTGTAATATCAGAACATGATATGTATTCCATAGTTAGAGATAAATTTGACATTACTTGTGAAATATTTCTTAATGTACCTTAAATTGTGGTGACCACCTGGGAGCTGTGCAATTCCCATGACAGCCTAACTGAATTCAGGAAAACAACTATGTGCGACTAAGCTTAAACTTTGAACCGTGCATAGAAGCACTATGGGCCAACTGTCCGATGCATACCCTTGGGAAGGCTTACAAGAAAATGTTTTAGCTCCATCTAGTCAGGGAGCTTTCCCAAGTAAGCTAGGCTTCATAATCACGTAACTTTCCTTTTCACCTCTCAAGTTTTTCTCTTTGGACTCTTTCTTAAGGATAGTTATTTGGAGCCTTGAAAAACAGTCCTGAGCTTAGCACTCATTCCCCCTCCTGTTGCTAGGAAATCTCACTTGGATATAAAATTGATTAAATTTGGAAGAAATATATAAAAACACAGTACAAGTGGGATAAGTAGCTTGTAACCAAAGCTAAAGAAAAATGTGTTAAAATGAAATCTAATTTATTGATCATCACATACTTCTAGTGCAGCCTTAACATCAGGCTTTAGATTTAAAGAATCTGACTCTTGCTTTGGCTAATGCTATTTGGCTAATACCACTCTTTATAAGAAAAATCTAACTATTTTTAACAAGAATGTATTTTCTGGAAACTGACTAGTAAGATAAAGACTATAAAAGAAGCAAATAACATATCTAATAGGGTCAACCTGTCATCAGTTTTGTATACAACATTCCATACATAGTTCTCTTTATGCAGCTTTAATGATGCATGCATTGTTAAGTATTTTCTGTTTCTTTAAAAAGCTCATCATTAAGCCACTCTACCCAATGGTTTCATTGAGGTAGCGTATGTGTTAAGGATGTCAAATGGCAGCTGCTTTACTTTTATAGCAGCTCTTCATGCAGATCAGATATATATCTTCTAACTTCTAAGCATTAGAGGTGGTGTAATGAAAATAATTGGATTGGGTATTGTTTCAGATTCACTTCCAGAACAGTGCATCAGAGCACATAGAAGCATGAACCTAGCACCTCTCTGTAACTCTTTAAAGCAGCTGCTCTTGAATCCTAGAAAATAACCCTATCCAGATGGAAACTTCAAATGACAGCCATTTTCTGTGTATTAACTTTCATCTTCTGGAGCCATTTAAAATGGCTTACATTACATCCCTGTAAAAGTGCTTTTGAGTTATTTGGGGGAAGGTCAGCTTGGATGCCTTCAGTTTGAGTCCAGGGCATAGCTTTTTTAGGCTTAGGTACTGAAAAATCTATTCCATTAATAATGAAATGCCATGATTTCTGAAGTTCTTATACTCCATGTTTCATACGTTTTGCCCTGTGTCTGAGCCAAGGTCAAATATATGTTCAGAGTTATGAGAGTAGATCTGTGTGCACTGTAATATAGATATGCTATAGTCCAGGACACAAGAATAGCCTGTGTTTATATTGGCTGCTGTCAAGAATATATATTCATTTGTGAAATAAAGTTCATGTATCTTCTTAAGTTGTGTGTAAGCTAGAAATACCTTAAGTTGAAGGCATATGTGATTTCAAGACCAAAAGTCATATCCATGTGTAGCCAGATTTAGTACAGTAGCGCAAAGCTCCCGTAACAATCTTAGAGTTAAATCTACATTGCAGATTGGATTTTTAGGGACTGTGGGCTTTTTAATTTATATCTTAAGACTGGGCAGAACATGAAATCCTTGTGGTAATGTTTCCACAGCAACAATTGATATTATTTGCTGCAGATCTTGAATGTTATTTTGAAAAGTGAAATTTGGTGTATTGGGAATGATAATCTTATTAATATGGACAAGACAGGTTTCATTTGCTTTACACAGAAATATCTCTTGACTTATTCCATTTGGATGGCAGGGCCTTAAACTCTGGTGTAGAATACTACTGGGACCAGCTGAATGAAACTGTCTTCACTGTGCATTCCAACAGCAGGAGCACTGAACGGCCAGGGTGAGTCTAGAAAATGAGTGTGGAGGCAACCATTCATAGATGGAAGCATGTGTCAAACTGTATCTTTGTTCCCAAGGTCTGGGTGTAGCTGTACTGTTTACTCTTGCATTTTCTTATGGCAACAGCTCTAAAATTTTAAAACTCATTTTCCCCCTTGGCACTTGGATTACTCCAGATGGCATAATACCACTGATTATACTTGGTTAACTCACTAGTGCAAATTAAAATGTTAAAATAAATCTGTCAACCACAGTCCTTCCAGCTGTCAGTACCACACTTATCTAAGTCATTTAGAAGCCACGAAGTTTATGGGAAATGAAAACGTAGAAAAGTACTACAAAAATAATGGACTAGTTACAACTTAAAACAATTATGGGATCCAGTACTGTTTGTAACTGTGGCTTTAGGATTAGTATTGTCATCTTTAGTCAAAATCAAATGTGAAAACAGATAGATGATAAACCAACTAGATTATCAAATTTTGACTACCTTCTAGATCATTTTTCATTAAAGATTTAATGGATGCCTGATGAAACTAGAAGAAATGACTGGGCATTTCAGGGGCATAAAGTCATTTCTGTAGTTGCCCTTTAGTTCCTAAATATATTTTGTTGTGCATCTTTTCAGAACCAGCAGAGCCACTTGGAGGACAGACCGGGATTTGGGCTTAATGAATGCCATTGGCCTGCAGCCACGGAACCCAACCACCTCTGTGACTTCACAGGGCACTCAGACTCTGGCACCTCAGCTACAGAACGCAGAAACGCAAACTGAGAGAGAAGTTCAGGAACCAGGAGGTCTTACTTCAGGGGTTACCGAAGGTAAGAGTTGATGGGGAATAATTGTCAGTATCAAATATGTGTTATTCTGGACATTAGTTAAGAAAACCAGAGATGTGATATTTTACCAAACAGAATAAGTCTATACATAGCAGCTGCATCATCTTCAGCTAGTAACTTTAGCTACAAATGTGCTCATTAGTTTCTGCCTTTTTTAGAAAATGAAAGAATATTGTTTGCTTTCCTGTTGCCCTTTATATCCCTTGGGCATCCTGGGATGTAGGTTTGCTTCTAAAATATTTTTTTCTAAAATCAGCAGATTATTGCTGCTTCTCAAGTGTGAAAACAAATTAGAGTATAAAAGAATCTAGCAAAGAAAAAGCCACCTGACACAAAAGTGATCTTAAATACTATAGACTGGATAAATTAACCAGTACTAGGGGCTTCATTTGATGATGGAAATTGGAGACAAATACTGATTAACAGCAGCGTATTCTTAGACATGGTCTCATCCAACTTTCTTCCCTACTATTGTTTTATTGTTAGCAGATGGTCTGACTTGCGCCCATGTCAGTCATTTTAATTGTTAGCTTCTAAAATAACCATATAAGCTGCATTTAAGGAATGTCCTTTAGTTATCCCACTGAGTTCAAAGGTAAACAGCAATTTAACATTATGCCCTTACCCTAATTATAATTAGTTTAACAGTGGCTTAGTAAAACAAACTAGCTTCTCATATATAAGCCGAGAAAACAACTTGTTTTAATTAACTGTATTAAGCTTTAGTTTGCTGGATTTGGACATGGTGATAAAATGTGGTTAGTTGCAAAAACAAAACACTGATGATGTACTATTATGCATGAAAAAATCATGCTAAGCCCCAGTAACCAGTCACGAGAATGATGTATTGAATGCATTGATTCTTACTCGTAGCTAAAGTAATTTTAAAGGGAGAAAATGTGGTAATTAGGCAGGGAGGCAACAAATATAGGAAGGAGGACATGCTGAGCATATGAAGAAAGATTCAGGATCAACTCAAGGGTGTCTTTATCTTTTACAGTACTTAGTTTGCAATATGTCCACTGGATTATAGTGACTCACTGTTAACTTTCACAGTATATGTTAATGTTTATATATGTAGGATATATGAATGTAAACAGTGGGTACAGCAAATACTTGCAAATGGGCACACACTGGGAAACTGCATAATGAATATATAAAGTAGGAAGGGCATCAAAATGTAGAACTGATGATTCGGAAAACAATCTGCATTCCACACACTGAAGAATTAGCACCAGCCCTTTTTGTCTCCAATCTACCTTTCCAAAGTTTACTCTGAGGTTTAAAACTGACAAAGAAAGCTAGTATAGAGGATTTATAGCAATTGAAATCTTAAGACCTGAATGTTGATAGTTCCTTGTAAACACACTCAATTTACTGTTGGGAAATGGGCTTTATTTTTCACCTTAATCCATTAACCTAAGAGGAATTAAGAATTCAGGTTCCTGATTAGCAATCTCAGCCAGCATCTAGGTTTTACAGATGAGTATGGAAAATGGCTCACATTAGTTTTTCTGCTAGTGTAGCTGTAGCTAGGATAAAAAAGCAAGGAAAGGCGAGTTCCAACTGACTTGGATTTTTTTTCCTAGCTTGTTTTTTTTTTTAAACCTAGGGAAAAAGCACATTTTTTTCAATGAGTTTTTCACCAGAAATCCAGCAAACCAGATCAGTTACAAGACATGCCAGGTTGTGAGGTGACACTCAACCATCACTATTAAAGCAAAACAGTATTTTCTGTGGATTGAATAATACAGTTGGAATTAAGTGAATATCCCAATTCTGCTACAAATGCAGTATGAAGCTTTTGAAACACTTGGATGTTGAAACTAAGCTGAAATAACTCCTTCCAGTATTTCCCCAGCAAATTTTGTGAATTAATTAGAATTTGTAAAGAGCTTTGTTGATGCAAATAATTATGAGACTAAGTAGTATTGCTGGCACTGAGCAAGAAAAGAAAGCACTTTATTCTGGATCATGTTCAGTGTCTGCTTTGGGAAAAAAAACAAAGAATCATAGATCATAGATTACATGGATGGTGAGCTTTTGAAAAAGATATTTTCTACTTTGCTAGAATGGGCTTGAAGTAAGGCACTATGTTTTCATTATGTGTGCCGGAAAAATCTGGAAAAAATCCTCCCAAAACAGACCTTTGTATGTTAATAAATACAGTCTATCCTTCATCTTTGCAGGCTCTGCAGAAACTATCTTTCTGAAAGTATTTGAATCTTTGAAAAGATGATAATGTTAGTAAACTTATTAAAAGTGAATCCCTCTAGTCCCTTTTCTGTCATGTAACTGCGGTCTTGTGTATTCTGTTTATGAAGGCATCAGTCAAAGGAAAGTAAGTTTAGGTTTTAAAAGATATCTGAAAGTTGCATAAGTAACTGTTAGGCTTGGAAATCTTTTGTTGCTGAAAAATGTGAATAATATAGGATGCAAACAGGCCGAACATTGCCTTCTAATGAAAGGAAATACAAGCACTTATTTGTTTTGTTCATTAAAATAAATGTAATGCAAGAACACTCAAATTTGTTGGGAACATATCCATTAATCATTATCTGTCCTAGCTAAAATCTCAGGTTACCAAAATAGAAATATGAGTTCATTAGTAAAATAGTGGAGGGGAGCCTACTCTGTGTCTGAAACTTAGGAATCATCAAACTGTTTAAACTTATAATTAGAATAATCCTACTTACTTTTGAACAACATTCCAAAATATGCCATTGTTAAAAAGAAAAGACATAGTAGCATCTTGTCATTTTAATGTCTATAGTTTCTGTCATGACTTGGAATCTGGAACCAAACTATCCTATGCAAAAATGCACCCTATTATCATTGGTTAGTATCCCATCTCTAGATATAATAGTGCAGATTCCACTTGCACATTTGGGTTCTACTATTCCAAAATGGTTTAATCAAAATACTTCCCCAGTTTTTCCTGTAATTATTCATACTTTGGATACAATCTATGTTGAACGCAGCTTGGAAAATAAATTCTGATGTATAATAACACTTATCCAGTACAAAACTATGTATTCCTGTACTCTTAGTTTCCTGCCTTAGTTGTTACCAATTGTTTTGGAATCTTGATTTGAGTCTGTGGTCCTACTCTAAATAAAAATAAAACATTTTCAAGAAGGAACTTGACCAATGATTCTTTTCTGAATTGTTATCCAATTGAAAATCGCCATTCCAAATTGAGCAAAATCGATTGGAACTGAAAAATGCACATTCATATACTTCCCTGCAGGATGTAATTCTATAGGAGTACCAGTACCATTGAGAAGTGTAATTTTTTTGACATTTGAGGGGAAGTAGGTAACCTTCATACATTTGACATCCTTTCTGGTTTTCAGTTTCTTAAAAGAGTGGTATCCCCATTCTCTGAATGACATCCACTTAAAGGAAGTGGAAAAAGGGACTTCTGCCATCTCTAGCAAAGTGAAAGGACAGAAGTTGCTTTTCTCTGTACATTACCTTTGCTCACTTATCACTCAGTATTTTTACTTTATTGAGCTTGTTTCTCAGCTGCGCTACATTTAGTCTCTGTATTATGGAACAGTCTGGCTACATGACAGCACTAATACTGGCAGACCTTGAAAAGCTAAGCAGGGTCAGCTTTGGTTAGTTTTGAATGGAAGGTCACCAGAAATGTTCAGGACTTTAGGTAAAACTAGGAGTTGAAAAAGGCAATAGAAAACAGCTTCTGTATTATTGCCAAGAAGAAAATACAGACATGGCCATGAAGTCTACAGATCTTAAGCTCAACTCAAAAAGAGACTTTACTATGGAGCAGCTTTTTTTCTGACTAGTCACCTTATTATGATTGTTGCTTTATAAGACTAAACACAGATGTTAGTATTTGTGTAAGGACACTTACGAAAGTTTACCCCTTTTTAGGGAGTCCTATCAGTGACGTTAATAGTCATCCTTTTTGTTTAACTTGAACCATTTGTTTAAAGCAAGATGGGAACCCTATATCCTCCTAGGTCTTGGTGACCCACAATTCCCAGCATTCCCATACAATATATCTAATAGTAAGGAAATCTGGAAATTGTGGGTCAGTAATATCAATGTATTCCCCATCTGTGGGTTAAAACATTAGAAATATTAAAGAAGTAGGATTTGACACAATCTGAATCTAAGATAGAACTCAATGTTAATTTCTGTGTTCTTACTATTTTAAAATCACTAACTTTCCTCAAATAAATTACAGCTTAGTGATACAACATTGTTATAAAATAGAGCTATTTGATGGTAAGCAGAGCATACTTTTTAAAGGTATGCATCTAACCAAACTGAAAAATCAAGTATCTTGCAGTCACCTTTTCAGGCAATGTAAACATTCTCTAATTAAACTTGGAAATTTCAGTACAACATTAGAGAAATTATAAAATACCCTCCTGGACAGAATTACTTACATAAAAATCAGTCTGGTTCCAAAAGCATCACATAGTTTTTGTACTCATTCTCTTTATCCCACCGACATGCATGTGTATAAAATCAATGAGAAGAATATAAACTGTTTTCAGGCCTCTGTATAGTACAAATGCAGCCTGGCTGGAAGAAAATCTGAATATCCAGTAACTTGTTCAAAAAATATACTTGGATCTAGATTAAATTCATTATTTGTTGTAAAAGACATGGGAGTTGCTTTCTTACTTATATTGCTTCAATAAATAGATGCCAATTCATGGTTCTCTTCCAACCTTATAATGTCATTTTAATTTCCTTTCTCAATTTCTATCACATCCCAGTTTTTAAAAAATGTGTAGTTAGTCCTGGCCATGATAAAATGCTTATTTGAAATAACATAAAATGGCATTAGAAAGTTGTAGTTCTTGTGCTGATGCTAATAAGTGTAAATTGGGCTTTATTTAATGATAAAGGATCAAGAATCTTGTGATATTGTACCAATAAATAGTTGTGAATGACATTCTTTTATTCTTTTGCATCCAGCCCAGAATATGCTTGTGTCAAAT